CCCGCCCCGCCGGCGCGCGCGCCCCCTGCCGCCGCGCGGCGCCGAGCTCGCCGGCCGCGGCGAGCAGCAGCGCCCCCAGCGCCGCCTGCGCGGCCTCGCGGGCCAGCGGCCGGCCGCCGGCGCACGCGGCGTTCTGCAGCGCACACAGCAGCGCGCCGACCGGCACCGCTGCCGCCGCCTGACCCCCCTCTGCGTCCCTATCCTCTCCTTCCTCTTCCTCACTCTGCCTTCTATCTTCCGCCTCCCCTCGACAGCACGCCGTCCTCCCCAGTAATGCCACGTGCATGCTCTGCAGTAGCAGCACCCGCAGCACGCCGCAGCCGCAGGACCGCAGCAGCAAAAGCGCCCGAGAAAATCCCAGCCCAAACACCTTGCCGCAAGCGCCGCCTCTGTCGCCGTCGGCCGCGCAGCCGTTGGCCGTTGGCCCTAAAGTGTCCCAGGCCGTCGGCGGCCGCGACACGCCCGCGCTGGTGGCAGCGGTGGCCCGGGCGGCGGCGAGCAGGGCTCGCGCACACTCCCACTGGTGCAGGTGCTGCGCGGCGGCGAGCAGCAGGCCGGGGTCGCGCCGCGCCACCAGGGACGCGCCCAGCAGCTGAAAAAGCGCCCCTGCCGCCGCCACCTCCTCGTACCCTGCGCCGCGCCGCACTTCTTGACCGCCGCCCCGCGCCGCCGCAACGGCCGCGGCGCCGCCGGCGCCGCCGATCGCATCCAACAGTATGCAGCGCGCGGCGGCTCCCAGATCATCCTGAGAAGCCACCAGGCCCCACGCGGCCTCCGAATCTTCGCCGCCGCACCTACCGCCGCCGCCTTCGCCGCCGCCGCCGCCGCCGCCAGCGAGCGCCCTGATGCCCAGCGTGTTGGACGCGTTGAGAGCGGCCAGCTGCAGGGAGGGCAGGAGCGGGTGCGCCGCGCCGAGGGCGCGCAGCCGCACGGCCGCGAGCCGCAGCTGTGGGGCGGGATGTCGGTGAGGGCGCGGGTTGGTGAGAGCGGCCGGGCGCGGAGTGTAAATTCTGGTCTGCACCGTCCCATTGCAGTGGCAGACTGCCAAGTGCACCTCCACTCGGCCTGTTGTGTGCTCACAACATGCAATACAGGATCCGTGGGGGCGGTGTGTTGACAAAAGCAGCAGACAAGCTCTCAGCTGTCCAAGCTGTTTGTTCAAGCAGCCCACGCGATTTCAGTGGTGTTCGGCGCCTGCCGGCCCTCGGCAGCCGCACACAACAGTCCCAAGCCTGGCCACTCACCAGCGGCGCCGCCCCCTGGAGCAGCGCAGGCACGTCCTCGTCAGCGCAGTCAGCTGCAGCAGACATCAGGGCGCCGCAGCAGCCCGCGGTGACGCCGCAGCTTTCAGTGTTGCTTTGACCCGAATGCTCAAGAAGCAGCCGCCTCAGCACCTGCAGCAGCTGCCACTCCTCCAGTGCCGTGTGCAGCAGCTTTGGCCGCAGTTGCAGGACGCGAGTCACCAAAGCCAGCTGCGCAGCAGCTGCCAGCGCGGCGGCAGCATCCTCCCGGGGCCGCGGGTCGCCGCCGGCGGCAGGCGCGGCGCCGCCCTCGGGCCGCTCGTGGGAGCTGCGGGGCAGCTGCCGCTCGCAGGCCGCCGCGGCCTGCGGCAGCAGAGAGAGCGCGCCTGACGCGGCCGCCAGCGCCTGCGCGGCATCCTCCAGCAGCTGCAGGCAGGCGTCGGTTGCGCCGCCGCTGGGTGTGAAACCAGGCATACTGCACAACCCTTGGTGTTCAGGCGCCACGTCAGCAATCTGAGTCAGCATGCTGGTCAGCCACGAAGCAAGGAGCCTCTGGGCCACCGCGGGCATGTGGGTGGCACGCGCCAGGACCCAGCGCGACACCGGGTGCGCCGGGCCCAGCCCCGCCCGCGGCGGCGCGCGCTGCAGCGCTGCGCATATCGCCGGCGGCGGCGCCGGCGGCGCGGGGGGCGAGGCGTCGACGGCGCGGGGGCCGGCGGCCGCCTGCTGCCGCAGCGCGGCCGCCAGCGACTCCTCGGCTTCCGCGTAGATCTGGCAGACGCAGATGAGCGCATCTGGCTGCGCGGCCAGGCCGGGGCCTGCGGCAGCAACCAGGCCGTTGAGCGCTTCCATGACGCGCCCCGGCGGCCAGCAGCAGCACCCGCCGCCGCCGCCGCTGGCGGCGCAGAGGGACGCGCGGACTATGAGCAGCGCGCTCCTCTGGAGATCCGTCAGTCCGCAAAAACGCCGGATGCCGCCGGGCGCCGGCGCCGCCGCCGGGTCGGGGCCGGCGGCGGCGGCGGCGGACGGAGGGTCGGCGGCGGCAGAGAGCACTGACAGCACTTGGTCGAGGGTCGGGCACCTCCTGGCCAGAGTCGCCGCGAGCTGGTCGCTCTGCTGAACCAGGGCGGCTGCGGCCGCGCGAGGGCGCGGGCGCGGCCAGCGGAGCGAGGGGGCGCGCGTCAGGCCGGCCCGCTGGGCTCTGTATGAGAGGCACATGGCATCAAGCATACACGTAACCGCCACGGGCAGGCCCCACGCACCCCAGTGCCCATGCGGATGACAGGGACGCGTCAGCTCGTTCAGACTGCACCTGTCGCAAGCCCTAGGGTGTCCGCGTGCGCCGCCGCCAGCAGCAGCGCGCGCCACGCCGCGTGTGCGGCCGGAGGCGGCGGCCGCAGCGCGAGGGCGTCCGCGGTGAGGGCGCACCACTGGAAGCCGACGAGCAGCTGCCCAGCAAAGCCGGCCAGGATTGGCGCCAGATCGCCTCCGAGGGCTGCGCCTGCGGTGACACAGGGCGGCAATCAGGTTCCACTGATTTCCCCGCAAGCATGTGCAGGTTGGCTGTTGGCGGGTAGACGGGTTGGTGACACGGTGAATCAGGCGCCTGGTCAAGACCATCCAGAGCACCTGAGGATTTGCTGCGTGCCGCCCAGGAAGCACGACCCTCCCAGCTCGTCACTAATCACCTGCTTCGAACACTCCAATGACTGTTTGCAGCATCCCAGCCAGCGCCAACAACGGGTCACCAGGCTCTGCGGTGCCCTCAGGCGCAAGAGGCTGCCTCGAGTCGGCCGCCGCCGCGATGCAGTTCATGAGTCTTGCCAGGGCCGGCGCGACGTGCTCGAGGCAGCCCTCAAGCAGCCGAACCAGCTCCTCTGCGCACGCCCCCGCTGCGGCGCCACCTGCAAATGGCATTGGCACGTGCTGCTGCCGCTGCTGCTGCTGCTGCTGCTGCTGCTGCTGCTGCTGCTGCTGCTGTTGCTGCTGCTGCTGCTGCCGCCGCTGCGCCGCTACCGCCCCCGCCTGCGCCGCGTGCTGCGCCCGGCCTGCCGCACGTCGCCCCGCGCCGCTGCCGCCGCCGCGCGCGGGTTCTGCGGGCGCAGGGGCCGGGGTGGCTTGCGCCGCGAGCGCCGCGGCGGCAGCCGTCGCAAGCTCAGACGCCCGCGCGACCAGGACGCCCCGAGCCAAGCACGCGGGCTCCGTCAGCGTCAGCAGGCCCAACGCGCGGCCCGCGCAGCTGAGCAGCGGCCGGTGGACCGCGGCCCAGTTTGAGGGGCTGGCGGCTGCCCAGTGCTGGAGGAGCCAAGCGGCGATGCTGGCGGTGGGGAGAGGCAGGGACCGTGGAGGAGTTGGTGGCTAGCGGAGGGAAACAGCAGCAGCAGCAGCAGCAGCAGCAGCAGCAGCAGCAGCAGCAGCAGCAGCAGCAGCAGCAGCGGCAGCAGCAGCAGCGACAGCAGCAGCAGCAGCAGCAGCGGCAGCAGCAGCAGCAGACACGATCATGACAGGAGACCCCAAAACACCCGCACCTGCAAGCAGAGCAGTAGGCCGCCTGAAGCTCCGCAGACAGACGCAGTTGCCCCTCGGCCTGCCCGCCGCCGCCGCCCTCAGCAGCGTCTGGCAGCACCGCCTCGACCGCCGCCGCGAGCCGCCTCGCTGCCGCGCGCGGCAGCTGCGCCACCGCACGGTGCTCGGGCGCCGCGAGGGCGCAAAGCAGGCGCAGGGTGTCTGCCTGGATGGCGATGTGGCGCGTCGTGGTCGCGTGGCCGAGGAGTGACATGAGCGTGTCCAGCCCGAAGTGCAGGTGGCGCGCGAACAGGGGGCCTGCGGCGGCAGTTCGGGGTGAACGCGCGTTTGGGGCTCAGAGGCAACCGGGGATGTGCGGCGGGGGGGGGTGGGAGATGTCCTCGGCGATGCGGCCGGCAAACGCGGGCTGCCGGCGTTTGGGGTGGCGCAAGTGCGAAAGCATCATCAGCCTTGCCACATGGGGGCGAGCCACAGGCTCGCCTTGGTGTGCGAGGTGATGCAGCGCCGCCACCGCGCAGCACTGCAGCGCCTCCCGCTCGCACGCCTGCTCCTCAGTCCCCGGCAGCGCCGTGGCCCCGCCCGCGGTTGCTGCAGGTGTGAAAGCGCCGCTGCTGGCCGACGAAAAAGCGAGCGTCCCTCGGATCATTTCGAATAGATACTCGCACGCATCTCCCTCTATCAGCTGGCAAACCACCACCGGCGGCGCCTGGCGCGCGACCGCGCCGAGCAGCTGCGCGGCGGCTTCCTGCAGCGCGGGCAGCGGCTGCAGCAAGCAAGTCTTGAGCGCCGATACAACGCACGCGCCGGCTCCGCCGCCGAGCACCTCGGTCCCTGAATCTTCCTGCGCATGCTGCGCCTGCTGCCGCTGCACAGCAGCGGCCAGCAGGGGCAGCGCCCCAGGGTTGGAGTCTGTCAAGTCGAGCATCAGCCGCAAGCACTGCAGCTGCAGCGCCGGCGGGCTGGTGTGGGGCAGCAGGGAGAGCAGCTGCAGCAGCAGGCGTTGCGCCAGGTCTGGAGGCAGGTGGGCGGCGCGGCCGCTACAGAGCAGGACCTCAAGGAGGCTGCAAAGAGGAGGGTGAGAAGGAGTATATTCAACCACGTATACCGCCGAGCGCTATTGGCAGATTTGCCTATGTTTGTTGCGGCAGTGTGGCGCACGGGGACGGCGACAAGCGCGCCGCACACGCGCCGATGGGCCCGCTCGCCCACTAACACAGCACATCAAAGCCCCCACGTACAGTATACACATGCAGACAGGGCCACGACGGCGCACCCACCTGAGGAGGGGGACCGCGGATGGCTCCTCCCTGGCAGCCAAAGCCGAGACAAAGTTTTCCCCCAGGGGCTGCGCGCTGCACAGCCGCGACAGCGACAGCGACAGCGCCGGCGGGTGCTGCTCGCACAGCGACCGCACCAGGATCAGGGGCCCCGTGCAGCACGGCGGGTGTGCCGCCGCGGGCGCCGCCGTCGCATGGGCGGCGTGCAGCGGCCGCGGCGGCGGCGCGGCTGGGCCCCAGCAAGCAGGATCGGCAAGCAGGTGCAACGCCCTGTGCCATCAAAAGGATTGGCAGCCATTGGTGATGAAAGCTTGTTGGTACAGCGCAGGCCGGGGTTGCATGGGCGCATCATGTTGATCCCTCTCATTCCCTGGGCCTGCGTAACCCTAAACCGAGCTGAAATCACGGCTGCAGGGTCGCATGCATGCCACCAGGCACGCTTGCCCTGCGCTGATTATGGCCCCACATGGAGCCATCCCCACCGCAGAGCAGGCGCCCAGGGCAAGGAACATGGCAGCAGCTGCCATGCAGGTGAACTGCGCAGGCATGCACCCCACATTCCTGTCGCCCGGCCCGTGCCATGCATGCGCGCCTGTCGCACGCCATCTCCGGGAGGAAGTGGGGCGCCGCGCCGCAGACCAGCTGCAGCGCGTCGAGTAGCGCGTCCGCCAGGTCAGCGTCGGCGCCGCCCGCCGCGGCGAGCGCCGCGAGCAGGTTTGAGACGAGGGGGTCGGCGTGCTTCGACACCGCGTCCTGCAGCAGCCCGGGGTGGGGGCCAGACGGGTCCACCAGCTCCGTGAACTGCCTGCGATTGCGGCGGGCAGGGCATGCACGAATTGCAGCTGTTGATCTGGCTGGACGCGAAAACCTCCGGCGATCCACGGTGACCCAGCCGCCGGCGCCTGCGGGCGTCGCGTGTACTGTACAATAGCTGGCGTGTGATGACATTTGCGTCACCTGAGGACATAATGGCGTCTGCCGGCCAGCAGTGTGGTGTCGGACACGCTGTCTGCGAAGCACAGCACGCACAGCTCGACGCCGTCGACCAGACGGTAGACGGCGTTTGGGGGATGGGCCTGCTGCTCGTGCCCCAGGAAATCGAAAAGGCTCATTGACGGATGCTGTCGGGAGGACTGAACCGCGATAATGACTTCCTTGGGCGATCTTGGCGCTTCGAGATCATGTTCGAAACAAAGCCGTTACATGAAACAAGAGCATGATGTACAGTACACCACATCTACGCTCTTGACGAATTGTCAACACACATGCAATGGTCCAAGGGTAAAGGCGGCACAACGCCGCACAAGGAACTCAGCACGCCCGCTGCCCTGCAAATGTTGGATCACGCAGACGTCGACACAACCCCCAGCTGTTATACGGTACCCCCGCTGCTCACAAACATTTTGACCTGCCAAACAGCTGCCTGATGGAGAATCTGCGTGCAGCATGTAATTGAGAAGTGGGACCGTGAGCCATGAGCCACCGCACATGCTTGGGCTGTCGACCGCTTTGCGCCATCGCTCCCGCCTCCTCCCCGCACGCCCCCTCCAAACCGCAGCCGCCCAGCCCGGCCCACTGACCAGCTCACCTGCGGTTGCGCTTGGCGGCCCTCGTCAGCGCCTTGACGTCCTGCGGCGGCGCGCAGTTGCCCGGCAGGAATTCCAGGTGCCTCAACGCGCGGTTGACCTGCAGCGCGGCGACGAGCGCCTGGCAGCCCTCGGAGCCGATGGCGTTGTCGTGCAGTGACAGGCTCTCCAGCGTGCCGTTGACCTCCAGCGCCTTTCGCCGGGAGCAGGGGCGGCGGCGGTGCCGCCGGGGCGGGTAGGTCCGCGGGTGGAAGAGTTCCGCGGGGGCCGGTGCATGCTGCAGAGCGCGCGCAGGCTTGTCCGCACGGCCAGCCGGTTCCCCCGTGCCACCGCGGGCCTCTCCCTTCTGACATCACTGACCGCTCCCTGCGACTTTTGCTGGCCTGTCAGCATCGCGATGGTGGTGAGCGTGATGGGACATCAAACATCATCCTTGAAAGGACCGGTCACCTGCGCGAGCTTGACGGCCCCCGCGTCCCCGATTTTGTTGCGCCCCAGCTGCAGCGTCGTCAGCCGCGTGTTGCCCATCAGTAGCGCGGCCACCTCTGCCGCGCCCTCGTCCGTGATGCGGTTGTCCGGCAGCTCCAGCGTCCGCAGCGAGCGGTTGAGGCACACCGCGCGGCACAGCCGCTTCGGTGCGGCGCACGTTGAGCACATCAAAGAGACGAAGAGGATAACAACGCTCGTAAGTACCATTGCAGAACGCCTGCAACAGCATGTAACCTGCACAACGACAGCCTCAGCGGACCCCAGGTCCTTTCCGCAACTCAAATTTCTTGAACAGGCATAGTCAGGCGTGTTCACTAGCTGTTTCGGCAGCTCTCCAAGCACAGCCGCTCACCTTGACGCCGGCGTCCCCTATCCAATTGTGCGCCAGCGACAGCCCCCGCACCCTGCTGCTGCTTTCCAAGAACGCCGCCACCTTCTCCACGCCCTCAGGAGACAGCCGCATGTGCGCATGGAACACTGACCCCGCCGAGCTCTCCACCCCCCCTGTCAAAGAGCTGCGCGCCGCGTGGGCCCCGCTTCCGCTCCCTGCGCCCGCGACAGAGCCAGCGCCCCTGCTGCCAGCTGCGGCAAAGGAGCGCAAGCTGCCGGGTTGGAGGGCGGAGCCGGTGGTGCCGCCGCTGTTGCTGTTGCGGGCCAAGAAATCGTCCAACATGGTGGCGGCCTCGGTCCAGTGCTCTGGGCGCTTTGAAGGCGAAGGCAGGGCTTCCTGCTGAGACTGCTGCTGGTGCTGGTGGTTATGCTGCTGCTGCTGTACTCCGCCCGCCGACACGGACAGCAATGGCTGCGGCCGTGCGGGCTGCTCATGTGACTGCTGCTGTTGCTGCTGCTGCTGCTGCTGCTGCCCTGTCTGCAGCTGCAACCTGCTGCCGGCCTCTGTGCCAGTGCCCGCAGCTGCCGTGCCTGCCGCCAACGCCTGCTGCTGCGACGACGCCTGCGCAGCCCTGGACCCTCCAGTGAGGGTCGCCGCCGCTGCTGCTGCAGCTGCCTCCTCCCGCGCCGCGGCCTGCAGCTGCAGCTGCTGCAGGTGCTCGGCCACGTTGAGGTGGGGCAGCGTCTTGGGCGACAGCAAGGCGCCGTTGCCGTCCTCCTCTGCATTTCCCGGTAACGCCAGTGGTGTGTTTGCCGGATTTAGACTCACCCCTTCGTCAAACTTGTCAAGTTCAAGCAGTCATCACAAGGCCTGCATCTTGAGACGTGCTGTTCTCATTTTCATAGCAGAACAGCCCCAGCTCCACCAGCAACCCCTTGCATGCACCCACAGCACCACCCTTGCAACCCACCATACATCGTGATTGTCAGAATCCGCGCCTTTGGAGAGCTCATGAGCGCCAGAGCTGGGTTGAACGCCGGCAGGGAGAACGGGTCGTCCAACGTCTGCCGCCCGCTGTCGTGCAGCGGAGACTCTGACTCCGACCCAGACCCGGCGCCGTCGTCGTCGCCCGAGAGGCTCATCACTGCGGACGCGAGCAGCTTGATGGCGGCGGCGGCGCGGCGGTTGCGCAGCGGGTCCACCTTGGCGGCGGCGCGCTCCAGCTGGGTGAGCTCGCGGTCCAGAAGCTGGTTTGGGGTTCAGATGAGGTGCAGTTGTAGTGGATGCAAGCGTCAAGGCGACTGGCAGCCGATGACAGCATTGGTGGCATGGCCAGCCAGTCTTCTGCATCACCACTTCCGTAAGAGGGGCTGACAGTGCTTCCGCTGCCAGCACTCAGGCAACACGGAACGTCAGCACCCTTGCACATGGCCGTTGCAGCAGCCGGGCGCACCAGAGCACCATAGCAACGCCATGTCAGTACCCGCACTCCCTCATTCAGGCTCACCTCTTCGCTCCAGAAGGGCCCGTGCACCTCCCGCACCACCTCCCGCACCAACTGCTCAGCCTGCTTCTGCAGCCGGTCCGGGACATCCCCCGTCGGATCAAACGGCTTGCACTGCGGCGGCGCAGCATGCAGGAGAAAGGTTTCCTGGGTTCAAGGTGTGGCCCACCGTTCTTGGCTGCAGCCCCAGGTACGCTCTTGCAACATAAGCAATCGTGCCGCGGCCATCACAAAGCGGCAGCTCTGCATGCGCACCAAGACCTCTGCATCCTCTCTGAACCATGTACCGACTCGCGCTGGGTCATCCGCCGCATGCGTCCCACGCCTGCACGGATGCACTCCCACCGCACGCGGCGTGCGCGCTTCCGGCCGCATGGCAGCCCACCAGCGCTTTGAACTCCTCCACCATCCGGTGCTGGTGCATGGGCAGCGCGCACGTGCTGCTCGCCAGCTTCTGCGCCACGTCGCCGGCCGCCGCCGCCAGCGCGGGTGAGGAAGTGGACGCGGCGGCCGCGGAGAGCGCGAGACGTACGCGCGCGGCCGCGTCGTGCAGCAGCTGCACGTGCACGTCTGTCGGGGTGGGGTTTGGAGCGGCGCAAGAAAGGTTGCCTTGAAACTGGTCTGCTTATATAACTGAGTGTGGAGCTGCTGCCATGTATGAAAGGGTGCATGCGCCTGGTCGTTCATGCACGCGGCTTGCGGCGCCTGCCCATGCGTCGGCCCCCACCCTCTGTCAGGAAGGAGTACAGGCGCCCAGCCTCTGTCGCGCCGGTGTGCAGCTGCGCCGTCGATTCCAGCAGTGAGCGCAGCTCCTGCAGGGGGTTGCAGGGTGCGCGGTGCGATGGTGTCCCCCGTCTCGCTCGTGGGGTTCGAGAATCTTTTCACGAGAACTCCCTCGGTTGCAGCTGCACGGCGCGCGCCACATGTATGCTTGTCAGACCATTGTCCTGAGTCGACTGCAGGTGCGCCCCTGTAAGGTGCAGCATGCCATGCGCAGAAAATCGCTCGGATCTCCTCCCCGCTTCCTACAAGCAGCGACTGCTCAGAGCCGGGGCCAGCCCGCTTGACAGAGGCAGCCATGCACACACAACATCAAACCCACTTGGACAGTATTTCGGGCCTCGTCCGGCAGTGCGGCGAGCTGGCTGACGCCCAGCACGGCAAGCGCTGCGTGTGCCTCCTTCACAAACTTGCGAGTGGTGACGATGACGGGCGCCTGGACCTGGCCCGGCATGCCCGGCGCGGCGAGCGCGCCAGGCATGGTCGCGCCAAGGGTCGTGCCGGCGCCGCAGGCGCCCTCCGGGCCGTGCGGCGCCTTCCTAACTGCGGTAAATGACTTGAAACTCATGCCCACCGCAACCGCGGGGGCCTGAAATGGCCGTTCGCCAGGCTGAAAAGCAACCACTTGAGCGGCGAAAAAGCACAGGAAGTTTCTTAGAAAGAGACAGAGTTGTTCTTATACATGTATATCGAGTAATTCACGGACGCGGTAACTGGATCCAGCCTGATTGAGCGCACTGGTCAAACGTGCTTGTCAGGCTGCGGAAAAGGCGATGAAATACTGTTAGAAGGTTTGAAGATACACTAATACAGTACTGCTCCCGCCACAGCTGCCATGCAAGGCCCTCAGGCTTGAAGCAGCATCGAAGCATGAGCCAGTGCCAAGGCAGCTTCTGCACCAGCAGCAACGGTCAAGCGGGCGTTTGTTTTCCCAGGTGCGATCAAATGTGATGCACTGGTGGTATTGTCCTACTATCCAGAAGCTATTAGACTTGGCGGCGGCGGTCGACACCCGATCTGACGGTGCCTGATCTGTCGTGGATATCGCACAGTCCGTTTCGGAAGGTGTAGCAAGCCAACAGGTGATCACGAGCTGTTGATCACCGCTGCAGTTTGCAGGACACCGCGCACGCAACGCCGTTTCTCTGATCCAAAGCCCTCGAGAGTGGGCACAGCCTCGGCGTGAACTTTGGAAAGATATTATAAACTTGAAACTTGTAGGCTATGCCCGCTGCTGGCTGCGCCCTGAAGTTGCCATCACCGCCGCCGGCCCACCATTGCTGTGCCCTGTGCACCGGCCATCCACACGCCACGCCTTTGCACCTCGGCCCGCAGCAATGGCGGACGGCGAGCCGGACTTTGAAATGATCGAGTTCTGGGGCGAGGAGGTGCCGCCGGGCGCAAAGCGCTACTCTGTCGAGGTCGAGAACGAGCCCCCGATCTTCCACATGATCCACGTCACCGGCTGCGCCCTGGGCGACGCGCCGGCCAAGGGCCCGCACGTGCTTAAGGCCGTCCACAATGACAAGCCCATTGCTCTAGCCACGCTCGAGAAGGGCGCGGCCCACCAGTTCTCCTTAGACTTTGGGATCAGCAGCACCACCACCTTCATCAACACGGGCGCGAGCCCCGTGTACATCTCCGGCTACATCACGCGGTCGGTGCAGCACATAGAGGGCTCGGACGAGGAGGACGAGGAAGACGAGGAGACCTACAGCGACGAGGTGGAGGACGACGACGAGGCGCCAGACGCAGTGCCCCTCTTCGGCGCGGTGGGTCTGGCACAGCTGGGGCAGTAACTCTTTCTTGGCTTCGTTGATGCCTTTGCAGGGCAGAAGGCATGTGTGGCTCAGCAGGTGGTCCGTAATTGCCGCCTGCAATTGCTGTGTTTTCGGAGCGGCGCGGCGGCTGAAGACTGCTCAGGGATCCTTCCATGCCTGCTGCGTTGGCCGCCTGCCTGATCCGTGCTGTCACGCCACCGCTCGTGCCCCCCGCCCCGGCCCCCTCCCGCGCTGGCCCTGACTTGCCACCTGCTCTCCCCGGGCCGCCCCTGCCTCACCAGGGTGCCAGCCGCAAGAAGCGCGTCAGGGCGCTGGTGGATGAGGAGGCCGAGGAGACGAGCGATGAGGTGCGCAGCGGCGATGGCGGGGCAGGGGTGGGCGGCAGCCAGCGCAGGATCGCGCAGAGCGGCCGCAAGGGGGGCGGGCACCGCAACGCTACGCCTGTGCCGTGACGGGCCAAGGCATGTGACGGGCCAAGGCATAGCGTCGAATATGATAGCAGGGAGCTCAGTCAGCTCAGCAGCTGGCGAAGCAGCAGGCGCGCGGCAGCCAGCATGCGTGTTGCTTGTGGACGACTGAGTGGGAGGCTGCAGCAGTGCGGCTCACACTTTTTGCCGTGCTTTGCTGCTGCGCTTGGCGAGCGCACGCAGGATGAGGAGGGGGGCCTCAGCGAGGGGGGCAGCGAGGACGACGAGGGCGAGGAGGATGAGGACGAGGAAGACGACGAGGACGAGGAGGGTGAGCAGAGGGAAGCCAAGAAAAGCTCGGGTGCACAGCTGCTGGCTAGGCGCGTGGCCGAGCCTTGTGTGCCGGCCTGCTGACCCGCTGGCTGGCTCCCTGGGGCGTGCGAGCCGGCATTTGTGGCGCTGGCCGCTGAGTCGCGTGCAGCACGCCGCCAGGTGTCGCCCAGCACTCCGCCCCCTGCATTTGCGGCTACCTTAGTTGAAGCAAATCAGCAGCGCACGGCGCTGAGCCGAGGTCAGGACAGGCGGTCTTGATTGTTCGTGTGTTTTGAGCGCAGCTGGGGCGTAGTCGAATACATAGCTCGCAGCCCGCCGCAAACGGCCTTGGCCCCCGCCGCCGCCGCGCCCCTTCCCAGGGGACGAGTACGACCGGCGGCTGGGGGCCAAGTCGTTCGCGGACGGCGCTGACGAGGACGAGGACGAGGAGGGGCTGCCGGCCCTGGACTCGGATGACCTTGTCGCAGAGGCCGACAGCGGTGCGAGCACGCCGCTGAGGCCGCTAGCCTGGGGTTGCGAAGGACACAGCGCCTGCCAGCAGCGCGCGGCCACAAATGTGAAGCAGTCGGAGCAACCACAGCTCTTCAAAGCGAACTCTCTCGTCTGCCATAGGGTACACGCCCACACGGGCTTGTAGCACACTCAATGGCGCCGTCACACCGCACGACTTGGACTCAGCCGGCCCTCTACAAGGCAGCGTGCCCGAGGTGTGGCTGCCGCCAAGCTGCCCATGCGCTCTCTCAAACTGCACGATTTGCCCGCGACCCCGCCCTGCAGACGACGAGGATGGCGCCGGGCGCATGCAGCTGGGCTCCAGCGACGAGGGCGACGAAGGGGAGAGCAGCGGCGAGGAGGAGGAGGGCGAGGACGAGGATGAGGATGAGAGCGACGAGGACGCGCCCCCGCGGGAGCAGAAGAACGCTCCGGTGGGTTGGGTTTGGGGGTGGGGCGGAAGGTGGCCGTGTTGATTGGAAGTGGGCTGTTGTGGCGGGGGCAGCCAGGAGCTGGGTGCCCGGGTGGACTGCGTCGGGTTGGGTCGGCAGATTGCTGTTTTTTTCTGCAGCAACAGCCGGTATTGATCCTGAGCTCGCCCCACAACTGCCAGGCAATCCACGCGTGCTGCTGCCTTGCTTGCGCCGCCGCCCTGCCCCCACTCCGCAGCCCAAGCGCCAGCCGCAGCCCGCCTCGACGCCTCAGCCGGCCAAGAAGCAGAAAGTCGCAGAGGCCAAGGTGCCGGCCAGCGCGCCGCCGAAGGTGCAGCAGCAGAAGCAGGCGGCGGCCGGCAAGCAACAGCAGCAGCAGCAGAAGCAGAAGCAGGCGAACGGCGGCGACGCAGGTGAGTCCGCATGCGGAGGCTGGGCGCAGGCATATGGCGCCTTGGACGCTGTCCGGCCATCTGGCGGCTCGCACCACAGCGTGGTTTGCTTCGCGCCGCCTTGAATGGCAGCAACAGCGGCTGTCGTAGACACACCCCAACAGCTGCCACCCCCCAGGGGCCACACACTGCCCACTCTCAACCCTGTCCTTCCCTTTGCCAACCCCCTCGTTCTCACCGGTTCACAAAGCAGAAGCTGAGTACCTCTCGGCCATTGTTGAATACGTGCGCTCCCAGTCGGCCCCCGTGCCGTTGGCCGCGCTGGGCTCCAAGGTCAAGCGCCCAGAGGGCGTCAAGGCCAAGGCCAAGGCGTTCGTCACGGCGCACGCCGACAAGCTGGCATTTGACGAGAAGGCCCAGACGGTGTCCCTCAGGAAGAAGTGAGGGCGGCGGCTTCGCGGCAGCTTCAGGCGCGGCC